GTCGTCATCGCCGTGAAACAGCAAACAAAGAGAAAAAATATACGTCAAAACTTAACTACCACTAACACCGGAGGAAAAAATAAAATAAAGGACAACAAACCCTGTATTTTGGCTGGCTTGCGCCACATATTCGCCATCATTTCGTCACAAATTTCCACTATGATGGGAACATCAGACGCCATCTTGAAGCACGAAACAACCAATCGGCGATGAGAAATCTACCCACGTGATGTACGTTTCCAATCCAGTCTTCTACTATCCATGGCGCAATGCAATACTGGGGAATGACCTTAAAGTCTGAAAATAGATAGAGTTTGTTCGCCTTCTCGCGTCCTTTTAAGCGTTAGTTTAATGTATCACTAAAGCTGAGTGAAAAGGTCTTACTTTTACAGTTACTTTACTTTTAGTAAAAAAGTCAGAGTCTTCATAAAAACCACAAGAAATAACAGATTAAGCAAAGGTGTGAATTTTTTTTAGTTCATGAAAGTTTAACGTAAAAGCGTCAACGAAAATATGAATAAGGAATCTTGACTGGGCCACTCACGAAGTTAAAAGCACAGAGCATTTGTTTCCTGATAAGAAAGCCGTCTTTTGTAATTTCTGCCTATGCAGTGCCATTTCGCGTTCTTTTTCCTGACCGTGTTATGTGGCACGCAGTTGTTCAAAAGCCGATTAATCGGGTGATTTTATCCAGCCAACTGTAATGTCAGTTTTTCAGAGGCTATTTCTACTGTGAAGGTACCAAAAAAGATAAAAATAACGCGAAGTCACATTGTCAAACTCCGTACACTTAACTCACATTTCATCAAACTCCTTTTATCTAACCAGAAGCATATCACCTTGTTCAAGATGATATGCTTTTGATCTAACTTATCAATGTTTACTCCCAGTTAATAGAGGGGAATGGTTATGAAACTCGACAAAATTCTTTGTTGTATGTTTTTGTTTTCTTTTTTGGCCTTGACCTTGCACAAAACACAGTAGTTGTTCACTGCTGATCGAGGAACTAAGCAATAGAAACGTTTTGGTTTTCCTAATTCGTGCATAGTGTATGAACGCAAAACAAAAGATTGTGCACGGTCGTGGACCTTCCAACATAAATCTTGGCATCTTTGATGTTTGCAGGGCTTCATAACCAGTCCCTTCTATTAGCAATGGTTTACTGAATCAAAATTTTAGTAGGACGCGACTTTCTATCGCATTTTATCTATTTAGGAACGTTTACTTGATTTTATTTCCATGACATGTTGAATTAAGCTGTGTAAATTCCCGGCTGCATTTCTTAGCTTAGCCCTTAAGTCCGTGTTTCGCTTGCTGTTTTCAATACGGGAATTGCTGAATTCATTAACTTTAACTCGCCGATTTAATTCAATCGATGTTTACTTTTGTTTTTATGTCAGGCAATTGGGCACAAAAGCTCAGAATAGCTTGAATGATAACAAACACAGAAATACTTGACGCAAAACAGTACTTACGGAGACTGTCTTTCAAAAGTAATTATTAAGTGGATGGCGGCTTAGTATCCCAATTAACACAACGGTTGATATTTTAAATTCACAAGATCGCGGCTTACATGTGTGTCAGGAGTTTGAAACAAAACTCAATTTCACAATGTTAAGCATTCATCAAATTCAACTCTCACAGGGTTTTTAACTCTGGAACGAATGAGGCTGAAAAATGTTTCTCTTTACCCAAAAGTTTAATTGTATTTGCGGAGTAGTGGAATTCTCAGGCATGGCACAAAAGAACTTTGTATAAAATGCCAAGCGCTCAAAAATAGAAGATCTCCGATGGAAACGTAAATAGTAAAATAAGCCGATTTGAGGCAGTTAATATTTAATGCCCTTCTCCCTAGCAAAGCACAAAGGCGCCGGGAAACGGAAAAACAATCTTAGTAAATCCGCGATGGGTACTTTACGATGACCAAATTTGGTCACAGATAGTGACTGTTGACCACTAGGAGTGCTTTGCTTATAAGCTTCCTAGAACTCCGCGCTGCCTTCTAAAAGACAGACCGCAGAATTTCTTTTGATCTGCACTTAGTTGTCCCTTGTGCTTTCTTTGCAAGAGAAGTATTATTTGCACTGCTTGTTTTCAAAATGGCTGATCCTAATGTCTCGTTTGAGGAGGAGGATGAGATTCGAAAGTCATTCAACGAGGTAAACTTTTCTTAATTAGAAGTTTAAAATCGAGTGGTTTTCTTTCGCTCACTTTCTGCTTTTTGAGAAAACGCGAGGCGGTCTGCTAAAATTTTTTCTTTGATTGAGATTTGGAATGATCTTCTGAGTGACAGAGGCCACTCATCCGTAGCTTGCGTTAGATGAAACTGATAGGGCGTTTTTATGCAAATAAAGATCGTGTAACGCAATATTATAACTCATACTGTTGTTGGACGTCAGAAGTTTCATGATCAAAATACTTTTTCGCTTAAGGCTATGTGGCTGAAGCAAAATAAAACAAATGGTGATATCTTAGAGGCAATTAACCGTACAAATGTTTTTTTTTTCTTTAAGGTCGCTATCAATGTTGAGGACAGACCGAAGTTAAAATAGCTTCTCTGAAGACTAATTATTACTTTATGTCACTTGCAATGTTGCACAATTCAATACTCAGCATATTTTATAGTTTGCGGCTGTTTCTGCTGATTCTTTATATTGAAATTGTCACATATATTAATAAATTGGTTGGAAGCTCCCAAGAGTCAAACCATTAATTTTGCTTTACTTTTTATCTTCACATTAAGTTTGACTTGGATGGTAATGGCTTCATCACGGCTAGCGAGATCGGAAAAGCCATGAAAGCTCTTGGAGAAGATATACCTGGCTATCAAGTACGCAATATTATCGACGAAGCTGATAAAGACGAGAACGGAAAGATCGACTTCAATGAATTTTTGAAGGTGAGTGTTAAATTGTTCTCAAGTATTTTTTTTGTTAGAGGGCGGAGAAATCAGAATTGGAACAGCTGCGAAGATGTGTCTTGTTAATTACTTAAAGGTTTTAGTTCTGACACTGGAACCCCCCTGGACGCCCTTAACATTGTTGTCATTGTTTGAAGTAATAAGCATTCTAGCACATTTCCATTTACGCGTACGATTAACTGATAATATATTGAGCTTACACAGTTTAGGAAAGATTATAGTTTTGTAACTTGCTTTCTATGACATCAATTGACCGATATGCCGGAAATTTATATTGTTCTGCAAGTTTTCGTCTTTTGAGGGTTGGCATTGGGTATTTTTTCATAAACTGGTTCTCATTTGTAAAATAATCAGCAGTTATGCGTAACTTACTTGATCTATGAAGCTACTTTCAATAAAAAAATTCTGCGCCTCAGTGTTTTTCAGTAATTTGGATTCTAACACAAATGATAACAAATTGTGACGAAAATAAACTTAAAGATTAGATGCAATAAAAATTCCACTTTTCACCTGCTATTGGAGCAGGTGTAACCTGCACAGCACAGATGACTCTTTGTTCCAAGTCTGTCTTCTCCTGGCAATATCAAAACATTTTGAAGGAAATCGGGCTCGAGAATTGAGCAACTCATCCACTAGTGGGCACAATACCTTCACGGCCACCAAACGCTCGGAATAGTCACAGAGATCCCAGCTTAAGGTGACTACACCAAATTTTCACCAAAATGAAGAAAACGATAATTACTTTCCATTTAAGTTAACAGGTAACATAACTATGTTTTGAAAGGGGTGGTGTGGGCTGCTTCCTGAAAACAGCGAAAATAAAATGTATCCCCATTACGGAGCAAAACGGATTTGTAACAAGCCGAAAATAAATTTGCGCCAATAAAACACGAATTATACTGAAACAACATCTGTAAAATGATTGTTTTACTTTACTCTCAAGGTTTTACAAATACACCGACGAAACAATAACACAAATTCTCTCGGCGTATCTCGAGCAGTGTCTCGCGTTGAGTTCGCTCCATAAAGTAACTCATTTTATGCTGCACTGTAAATATTTCGGATGCTTAAAAATTTCGGATGGTTTTATTTTCGTGCACTTTTTGTGCCCAAAATTAAAATAGTCCGAACTTTTTTTGCAAGTAATGTATTCTAAATAACATTTTCTTCAAAATTTGTCATGTTAAAAGACAATTTTGACTTTTTCAAAAAGGACTTTTTAAAATCGTTTTTAAACTTTGTAAAATATTTCAAGGAAAATATTTCATTTTGTCAATGCAAAGCGTTGTATTGAACCACTGGGGCGACTATCGATTTGTACTCCTCGGCCGGACACAATGAAAAGCCAAGGTCTTTTCTTTTCAGATTTATAAGACATACAGCAAGAAATCTGCAGGCTCAGAGTTTATGAACTTAATCCGAAGGAGAGAACAACTTGAGATTTCGGGAGGGACATCAGAAAGTTCGGCGGCAGGCACAAGGCATTCGTATTCTGAAGGAGAGCGGGTCGCCTTCGTAGACTGGATCAAAACATCACTGAAGGACGACGAAGAATTTAAGACCTATTTACCTATCGATTCAACAAGCCAGGAAATCTTTACAAAGATCAAGGATGGTATAATTTTATGGTGAGTTTATACAAGAAAAGATCAAAGTAAGAGAGTGTATCCCCCATATAAGCCTTATTTTTTTCATCTTAAATTATTTTTAGACATGGTACCTAGTTCTTCCGCGGATAATCTTTCCACGTGCGTTGCATGGATGTTTTCGCGAAGGATCAAAATGGGTCTAGAGTCAGGCCGTGTAAGACGTTTTATCGATTTGTTCCACATGTTTCTTTTCGTCGCTTTTCTCGTTCAGGATATTCTTTTGTAACGTCCAGCCGCCTCTCAAGCGTAATACAACAGTCCTTCCTTCACAGACATGAAGGTCCAACCATTCAAAGGAAGACATTCTTCCTGGGCAGTTAGGTCAATCGGAGTTGTCTTCAAATCAGTAGAAAATTGCTCAATAAAGATGAAATGCCTTTTTTTCTTTCAGTAAAATGATCAACGTGGCCGTGCCTGAGACTGTTGACGAGCGTGCCATCACCAAACCAAAGTCAAAAAGAGATTTAACAGCATTTCGTGAGAATCTGACGCTGGCTCTGAATTCAGCGCGCTCCATTGGATGCAGTTTAGTTAACATTGGAGCCGAGGACCTTGAAAAGGGAACCACTCACCTTGTGCTGAGTTTCCTGTGGCAGATCATTAGAGTAAGCTTCTGAGTGTGTTGTAGAATGCTTGCCGTATTGACCAAGCGATTGGCTTGGGATACTCGTGCCACTTTGTCATCCAATCAGAAGTGAAACCAAAACCAAGCGTGACTACCTCGACCACGTTTTCCCGAGCTTGTTCTTAGCTACATGTAATTGCGTTCAGTCTTGATTGGTTCACTGGATTGTTTCTGTCTTTTGTGATTGACCAGAGTGCTTACTTTGGTTTTGATTTTACGACACTCAGCTGAAAACTGCCCTAATAATGTCCAATAATGTGTTTTACCTTTGAATGTAGCTCGGCTTGTTTGCCAAGATCACCTTGAGTAACGTGCCAGAGATGGTCGCTCTCTTGTCCGATGACGAATCGTTGAACGACCTGATGGCGCTACCACCAGAGGACATTTTGCTGAGATGGTTCAACTACCAATTAGAACAAGCAGGTTGCGGTCGACGAGTGGAAAACTTTAGTGATGATGTCAAGGTAAAAGCGTTCAAAAAAGAGCAGGGGTGCTCGTCGGAAATCCCTAAGAGGTACCAAGATCCTGTTTTGTGGGCGTGGCTTGAAATTATTTTCACCTCTAAGAGGAACCAATTCTAAAACAACACATTATCTCCTGATATATTTGTTTTGCTCAATACCCTAAAAGATACTGCAAAAGCTTCCCCTGTCGACCTTTTGAGGCTGACCACCCTAATAGATACCAAAACCGTTTTTTTACCCTCCAAAAGGTACGACAAGCACACGACAAGGAAGTTGCAGTCCCCCCTCCCCCCCTGGGAGACACCCCTCCCCCCCTGGGAGACAAGTCAGCTGGTAGAAGGATTTGCCCTCCCATACGCCATTTTACTTTTGCTTGAAGCAAGTTAACTATAGTTTGNCCCCCCCCCGCCCCAGGCTGACTTCTGTGTATGCGTTCTGTTACCTCTGGAGAACGTTTTCTAATGCGGTAAATTCTTCATCCTTGGTAGGATTCGGAATGCTACTTTCATCTTCTCAGGGTGCTGCTAAAGCGCATTGATCCGGATGCAGTGGACAGCAGTGTCATACAGGTACGAGAATAGTGGATATTTTCTTTTCAAGTATTAATGCATCTTTCGTCAAGCTAGTAATATTCGTTGGTTCAACGCAACATATACAGCTTCATAAAACAACTGAGATACTACGCGCGCTCACATTGGTTGATAGGTGTGTTTAGATGAGAGTATGAAAACACGGTCGTGACGTCTTAAATTCGCGCGTATTTTTGAGAAATACTTTATAAAAGCAAAAGAGTACTTTTGCAATGTTTACATAGCCTCATATATCTGAACACTTGGGAGGTTGGGAGAATTCTCGAAAGTTATGCAAACCCTTGAATTTTCCCAACCCCTCTTGTGTTTAGATGAGGCTATGTAGCCACGGAAAAAGTGTTAAAGTCTAGACTAAGAACTAATGTAGGTAAAGAATCAATTTCTTGCATGGCAATCGATATTTGGAAAGACCTTTCACCTTTTGACTGAAGAGTGTTTGCATTTTGGAAACAAATAAAACGATATCAACGGTCAGAGCAAGAAACGAAGAAATTTTCCCTTACCCTAAACTCGGATACACGTTACACGTTATAATTAATATTTCCTTCCTTGGTTTCATTTTATTTACCTGCTGCCGAGGTAGAACTTAAATCATTGTACGGAGAGCTAACAAGAAACTGACCAACTGGTTAATTTGGCAATTGCATGTTTAACCCGAAAAAAGATATCGGGGCTTCAACAGATCATACATCGGGAGCAGGCCTATTGATTAGGTTCATCTTTAGTTAACCTATGAAAGCTTCTTAAAATAGATATGTATTGGTTGTTTTTAAGGAATAAAAAGAAAAATAAGGAATCATATGGTCTTTTCCTGCAGTTTTATCGACAATCGACCGGGTACGGGGCACTTAAATGACAAACCGAAAATTCTGGCACCACTCCTAGCGTTTAGTCCAAACATTTTTTTCCTTGATTTGCTTTCGCCAGAGCTCACATTCCTAGAAAGAGCTACTACTATAATTGAAGTTGTAGTACGCTGTTAGTTAACTTTACCATACATTTTACACGCTGAATGCGATGGGGTCTGGATCGTAGGAACAAAATCCCAGCAAGAGAGCGGCGAGAACGCTAATGATGGCAGACAGCATTGGCTGCAAGAAATTCGTGCGGCCCAAGGTAAGCTGTTTTATTACCTCATATTTAATTTGACCGCGAGAGAATCTTCAAAATTAGCAAACACCCACTCCCCCGCCCCCCGAAAGTTGAGATAAAATCATGAAAGAGTTGTTAGCAAGTGCCGGAAGTAGTGCGAAAGTAATGACTTTCTAAAAGCAGCGACTTCAAATAAAACATTGCTCTCTTCGGATGCAAATTTTTTCAGTAAGCCCTATCATTTTAGTCTCACTATGGCTGGAACCTTTCTATAAGCAGAATGTTTTTCTCATATTTAGTCAATAAGGTAAAAAGCGATTAAAAAGCTGAGCCATAGGTTACTTGATAACCTTGAATAGAATAAGTACCTTGTCAGTTTTATCTAATCTACCCAACAAGTCAATCAATCAATCAATCAATCAATCAATCAATCAATCAATCAATCAATCAATCAATCAATCAATCATCAGTCAGTCATTCAGTCTGTCAGCCAGTCAGTCTCAGTCAGTCAGTCAGTCAGTCAGTCAGTCAGCCAATCAGTCATTCATTCAGTCATTCAGTCAGTCATTCAGTCGGTCATTCAGTCAGTCATTCAGTCAGTCATTCAGTCAGTCAGTCAATCAGTCTGTCCGTCAATCAATCAATCAATCAATCAATCAATCAATCAATCAATCAATCAGTCAATCAATCATGGATACCATGACTGGTTTCTCACAACATGGTTTGTTTTTCCTCCAGGATGTCGTTGCTGGTGATCCAAAGTTAAACATGGCGTTTGTAGCGAACTTGTTTAACCATTACCACTGTTTGCCTCCATTGGATTCGAATGACGAGGATCCTAAAGAAGAGACCAGAGAAGAGAGAAGTTAGTAAATACAATCACGGTGTTGACTGAAAGTAACGCGAGATTTTAATCTCAAAATCAAAAGCTTAACTTAAAATTGTCAATATAAGAGGTTAAATTCAGTAGTAATGGGCATAGGGCAATGAAAAAAGTGAAGTCCCCAACTTGTTGTTGGGTTTAAATCCCTGATATTCCTCAGATCAACTGAGCTACAGCTGAGAGACCTATAGTAACAAGGCTACTGATTAAGTTTAAATGTGACACAAGTCCAGTATTCTACTAGGGGTCTTTAACCCAGGACCGGGTTGATGAAAAATTCATCGAAGTACTAATTTTTGTTGTATAATTTTTTTTGACTGCTTTATGTTTTGCGTAGTTTGAAATTAATCAAGCTCAAAACTGAAGGAAAAACAATAGAACAGAAAACCTCAACGAAAAGTTACAAAACTGAAATCAAAATTCTCGCTAATCCTGGGTTAGCTTAATTGAGTTTTAAACCACTCAGCACAAATCTTCCACAACGTCAGACAGGGTCTGGGTATAAGATTAACTAGGATCAGCAATGTTGAAAATATTCTGTGTGGAGATAAAGACGGGTGATGCAATTTAGGAAGCGAGAAATTCAGTCGTCGCCAGCGAGGTTGGAAGAAATTTTTGTCAGTGGAGGCAGGAAACTCCTCTCACACTGCAATTGTTTTCAGGAAGCTCCTAGAATGAATAGACTATTTTAGTGACCTGGCCTTTGAATGGCAGCAAGGCTAGAGGTGACCTTGTTTTGATACAGACCTTACTGTTTTTGTTGTGTAAATCAAGTTGTTCTTATGCTAACTACTTGGCATTTAAATGAGAAAAGCAGAGAGGTCTGTTTCAAAGCAAGGTCACCTCCAGCCTCGCTTGCATAATAATTATTACAAAATACATAAGAATAATTAAAACAATAACAGCATATAAAAGTAACCACTTTCTGGTGAGTTCTATAGAACTTTGCTGTGATGTTTGATTCCGATTTGTTTTACAGCCTTTCGTAATTGGATGAACAGTATTGGCGTCACCCCATATGTCAACTATCTTTACACCGATCTTCGCAATGGAATAGTCTTGCTGGATGTAAATATATCATTTTTCCTAAATAGCTATAGCTTGAACCAGAATATTAAAGGAGCTCAGTCTTGTTATTTTGAGGTATTTTGGCCACGTACAAAATTACCTTTAAATTGAACAAAATCTGAAAATAAAAGTTTACCAAGACACAAAAACAACAAAGAGATGATAATAAACCATAAAGGAACAACGATGTTTTAAGATGGAGAAGATCAACTCGGATTACAAACGACGGAA